TGCATTTTTTACACCTGTGATGATTGATGCATTTCATGACCAAGAGCGATACCTGGCTCAGTGGGAAATCCAGCTTGATGATTAATTAACGATGGGAATTCAGCTTCTAACTCTTGGATTATAACCATATTGCAAAATTAAGCTGCAGGTTAGAAATCCCACTTAGCTTGGATGGGCCTATCTGCAGTTCTTTTGTACCCAAAATGGTTCATGCATGGGACCCTCCATTCACATTGACAACCATGATCCTTTCCACCATTTGGTGCTGGTAATGTTGCTTTAATAGTAATTTCACTTTTACTCATGGATCTACCAGTCATTGTGCTATAGCAGATTTACTTTATTTAGTGTCCTCTCATCTAAACCATATAGAGGTCTTGAAATAATTTAATTCTAATGTTCTTCTATATGTGGATATGAAGTTATTATAATGGCCTTTTGAGTTAACCACCATGATTTAGTTTAATCATAAAAAAGAGCCCATGAAAATAGGAAAAAACTTAGAGAGAACGAGCTCTAGCCATTGTACTCACCTGCTTAATTGTTTAATATCCTATGATTTTTTTTTTGGCAACCAAACTAAATAGAGTCAGACAATTATCTTGTAAGAATAGTAGTGGTGTGTGCAAACAAACCTGAACACTATGGATACGAGAAGAAAGAAATAGGGCCTTCAGTTATAGTTAGACAGCTTGAAATAGTGTCTAGAATTGCCTTGTGCTGCAGTATATGTGAATTTGAAATTTTGTTTTTCTTTTGGGAAAACTGTATATGGTTGCCGCAATTGTTCGGTGGTTCTATAGCTTAGTGAGAGGAGACTTACTGGGGACCATGCTGACTGGCATTCCCAAAGAATCCTTGATGAAATCCTGACATGGAAACTTGCATAGATTAATGCACATTCCAGCACAGTTAGTTTGCTCTAGGAACCTGCAAATAAATGGGATATGTTTAGGCACAATATATATTTGCTGAGTGTTATTTTGACAACGATAATTTCAAATTTTCAATGATGTGAATGATGGACATGACTTACTGTGATTAAGTACTGAGAGTTTAGAATAAGCATAATAATTACAGACAGAAGGTTCTGTGGGCGTGGAAATTGTCTCAAGTAGGTGAGATGGGACCCCATGAACGGTTAGAGAACATTGCCTTAATTATAGAACTCTGTTGCGAGAAAGAATTACCTGCACTTGTGGATTTGAACCACATTTTTTTCTTTTTTTCCTTTGAAGTCTGATTCCTTCACCTGTAAGAATCATATGTTACTATTGTCAGTGTTGCGAATTAGTAATTGAGAAGGAGACTTGCTTCTTCCATTTGTGTGTGCGTAGGGAATGGCTCCTGCATTGTTTAGTTGTTTCGCTTAAAAATCTTTTCTATCACTCCCTCCCCAACAAACTAGACATATCAATTGTGTTTAATCTGACTTCTTAAGGAATGCCTAGAAAGTGAAAGGGCCAAAGGGAGTAAGCATGAAGAGAAGATAGTTTCTTAAAAAATAGGTTTATCTATCTAACGTCACAAAACCTTTCTTTCATTTGTAGGGACAGGACAAGTCTAGAAGGGACTAGTGCCTCAAACACTGCAGGTTTATCAACTTGGCCATTGAAAATCATATTATTATATTGAATTTAGTGCTAAAGTTGAAGTTCTTGTGTCCACCATTAGCTGGAATCTATCTTTATTCTGACCTTGTTTGTTTGTTTAAATACTCTATATTCTGGAAAAAAATTTGACATCGATCTTAAGCCCTATGATAGAATTATCTCTTTGGAGTAGGAATTCGATCTTTTGACTTTTTGGTCGATGATATATGCTTTAACCAAGGTCGATGATATATGCTTTTGGTTAAAGGTGTACTGAGGTTGGCCTCATGGGTATTTGTATATGTATACAAGCAGCTGTTAATTCCCAATTATGTCCATGGATTGATGTTAATTCCCAATTATGTCCTTGGCTAAATTTATTTACATCATCTTACCTCGCAGGGTCCAACTAACCAAGCAAAGAAGACAGTGGTGAATGCAGCAAAATATTCCCTTGCGAATTTGGATTGAGGTAGCAATGTTCTTATCTGCACTTTGTTCACCACTATATTTGTTAGGGACATACGATTGAGAGGGGTGGGGTTTTAATAGTAAAAGGCGAAATTGGAAATGGATCAAGAATAGTAAAAGTACAGTTTTAATACTTCTTTAATCGAATAATTGCTGATAATTAGAAATATAATATAAAATGTGAGTCATTTGCTGATACTATTTCCATATAATGACATGCCAATCAAATAACTATTATACCCCATGATTAATGGAAAGAAAAATAAGAAAAGGGTATAGTTCTAGGTAGGTTCTAACCTAGGCAATGAAACCTAGCTATATCCCCCAAAATGTGTTGGATCCTACGATTTTAAGTTGGAAATCAGAAAATTATATTATAGGGTGCAAACACAGGACAGATAACCTCATGCTCTGATTCCACAATCAACTTAGAAGTTTTAGCTTATAGGTTATGGTAAAAAACTTAATTATGTCAATACTTAAACAAACAAATGGGAAGAAGAAAGGAGACCAAATAAGGAAGACAAAGTATTGAAATTTGGCCTAAATGAAATTCATCAAATGATCATGCACTACTTACCCTACAAATGTTATTTAATAATGAACTTCTATTGATGTGGAAACATTTATTGCTTGTATCATCTAATATCATAGGTAAATAAATAACTTAGAGCCGCCTAGAAAAATAAATGTATGACTTTTGAAATTACTTTTAGCAATAATATTTGAGGGAGTGATGAAAGTAAAAATGATTGTAGGCTTGAAATTGGTATCGGTAAAATCTTTAACGATATGTTTGGTGATAGTATTTTACATATATGCATGATATGCATTTATATCACAAGTACATTGAAAGTCAAAAGAATAGTAAATGATATTGAATGAATGAATGAATGAAATTTACCAAAGAGAGGATTGGGGCTGGAAATGCTCTTCCAAGCGCTTGAATGATAACCTCTCTTTGTTTGATCTGGTTGTAGTTTCTTGACGCCATTGTTGCCACTTCCACCAAGCTTTCATATCCACTCTTCTTGCTTCTCCAACCTGAATATACATCATAATTAATTCTGTATTCCAAATCTTCAAACAAAAAGAAAAGAAAAGAAAAGAGATCACCTGAGGTTGCTTGTACTGCCTGAGATACATGGTGGATGGCTATTTTCTCAAACCAGTTGTCTGTATAAACAGTGTTTGGTTTTCTTGTTTCTTCTGTTGCTCCACTCTCTGCTGCTCTTGTAAGCACTGCTACACAGGCAATGCTTTTTCTTCTCATCTTCTTCGTTTTGTTGCTTCTCCTCACGTTTGTCCCACTTCCCAAAATCACTCTCCTTTCCTCACCAACTCTTACTTCCATTTCTTTCTCTTGAGACTGAAGGGCGTTTTTCTTGTATTTTTAGAGTGAAGGAGGGAGGGAGGGAGATTTCAGGCTTAGATGAAAGGTTGGTTGTATTTATAAGATAGAGGCAATGGAAGATGGAGGGACTATAAACCAACCAAGGGGCTATTTAAATTAGGTGAATAGAGATGGGATAGACATTAAGCTCTTGTTTAAGTTTAACTAACACAAGGTCTTAACCCTCTTTTGGGATATACATTAAGCTCTTTGTTTAAGTTTAACTAACACAAGGTCTTAACCCTCTTGTTTAACTAACACTAAGGAGAATGAAATGGAGTGCATGTCAATTATAGCCAACTTTACGATGTAGAATATATATTTAATTAATTTTAATTCATTCGGTCGAAAAATGATAGCTTAATCTATCGTTGATTTCTATTAAAATTCGATAAAGTATTTACCGTTTTTCATATTGTTTTTAGGCGTTTGATAATAATGCATTTGGAGTATTTTGAGAGTGATGGATGACCAAGTTTGAAGCTTTGTAATCTAACCTTGTTTATTTATCATGTTTGTTGGGATTAGAAACGATAATCCTATGTAAATTTTTAAATTTAGAATCCATATTGGAATGACCGAAAATAAATAAAAATTATTTTTCATGGGATATGTCAGAGGACAGACAATTTCTAATATTTTTCAATTATATTAATTTTTGGATTTATCCAAAACAAACATTCTTTCCTGGCTTTGGGAAGATTCCATTGTTAGTTGTTTTGTAAAGAATGAAATTAAATTTATGAACATTTGTATTGAAATAATGCCATTTTCAATTTTTCATTGTAAAGAAAAAGAACCATTTTTTTTTCTCTTTTTCATTGGATTTGGATATATGTTTGAGGGGGCAAGATTACAAAATTATAATGATATGATGCAATTCCTGTTTCCGTAATATAAAGTCGACTAATATTAGAACACTATTTGTTGTACCTAAGCTCAACAAACGATCAAACTTTTAAACACTCTGGCTATTATACCCTAAGTGCGAGATCCTATATCGGTTGGGGAAGAGAACGAAACACTCTTTTTAAGGGTGTGAAAATCTCTCTCTAGTTGATGCGTTTTAAAAATACCTTGATGGGAAGCCCAAATAGAACAATATCTGCTAACAGTGGGCCTGAGTCGTTACAAATAGTATCAAAATCAGACACTAGGTTACAAATAGTATCAAAATCAGACACTAGGCTATGTGCCAGCAAAGACGTTCCCTGAAGGGGGTAACATGAGATGTTGTGCCTTGAAGGGGTAGATTTGGTGGGGACCCTACATCAATTGGAGAAAGGAATGAGGAATAAGTGCCAACAAAGACACGGGGTCTAAAGGGGAGTTAGATTTGGTGGGGATCCAAAGGTGTGAAAACCTCTCCATAACTTTAAAAACCTTCCGGGTAAGCCAAAAAAAAAAAAAAAAACCTAAATAGAACAATCTCTGCTAACAGTGAGCTTAGACTGTTACACTTAGTGAATATATCTTTGGGTAAGTCATTTGACCTTAGTTCCCGATATTTCTCAAAAGAGGAATGACTATGGCCAGAGATCCAGTTTGAACAATCCAACAAACTGATAGAAAGTAAGCTAAATTAAAAACCATCCAACAAGATAACAATATTACACTGAACAAATATACTTGTCCAACCAAATAGATAAAAGAGGGTGTGGGAGAGTAACAAAGCTTCACAAAAGCAAGCAGGGAAGCTAAATCCTTGGGATGCTAACTAAATGTCTTCATCTACAGTCTTAGAAGGCTAAACTACTTAGAGATATATATGAGTGAATGTCTCAATCCTTGGAGGCTTTGTTAATGAGGGACTTGTGAATATGAGGGATCACACCACCTCCAGCAATGGTTCCTTTGATCAGTGTATCAAGTTCTTCATCTCCTCTAATGGCCAGCTGAAGGTGTCTTGGAGTGATCCTCTTCACTTTCAAATCCTTGCTCGCATTTCCAGCCAACTCCAGCACTTCCGCGGTGAGATACTCCAGAATTGATGCTAGGTACACTGCAGCAGTCGCACCAACTCGCCCATTGGCAGATATTCTTGTTTTAAGATGCCTGTGAATTCGTCCCACAGGGAACTAAAACCCCACAATCGGAGAAATGGAAAGCCACAATTAAGTGTGAACTCGTGGACTAAGCTCAGTTGTAGTTTAAAAATAAAATTACATGAGCATTTGAATTGAAAATTTTCAGCCCAACCCACAAAAGACAAGCCTACGCTTCCCCACAACACAGAATTAAAAGAGTATAACATTTCAGAGCTGTCAACAAAATATGGTATTACAATAAAGATAAGGAACAAATACATGTAGCTTAAAAAGTACATAGGCATTCGAATTGAGAATTTACAGCCTAACCCACAAAAAGACTATCTTACTCTTTCAGTATCAAGTTTAAACTCAAAACTATCAACAAAAAATTATCATAGTAAAAATTGAAGGAACAAGGATCACAATATTCATATACATCAACATAATTGTACTTTTCTTAACTTCATGTTGCATAAAAAGTAAAGGGCATTAGATTTGTGAATTTCAGCCCAACCCACAAACAACTAGCAAACACTTTCCCCGCTAATCAAATAATTAAAAAATATTTCTGAGTCCCATGTGTTAAAATCCAAAGCTGTCAACGAAAAGGTGTATTGCCGTAAAAATTGAAGGAACACGGATCACAATATGCAGATACATCAACAAATTGTACAAATCTCAACTACACGTAGCATTAATACATATTTTCAGCCCAATCGACAAAAAAAACTAGCATACACTTCCACTCTAAACATAGAATTATGTAAGATTGCAGAGTCCCATGGTAAAATTCAAAGCTGTCGACAAAAAATGCTATTACAATAAACTTCGAAGGAACGAATATCAACAAATATGCAGATATATCAACATAATAACCTTATTTAAATGAATAAAATATCAAAACATTTTTAGTTCTAAGATTAGGAGGTAAAGTCAAACATGCTAAGGCTAACACACTAACGTTTGAGGAAAAAAAAATCGAGGTTAGAATTCAAAAGAGCACCTGTATACCAGCACGAGAGGATCGAGAGATCGGTTTTTTCTTGTCCTTGTCCTTATCTTTGTTCGCAGCAGGGGTCTTTGCAGCCAAAAGTCCCTTCCCGCCTTTTCCCGCCATTTTTCAACCTGCCAAATGTTTGAACATTCAGATAAGCATCTCGAACAGAGTAAATTCGCTGTTTAGTGGGGAAAACACCACAAAAAGAGAATCAAGAACCGAGAATTAACGAGCAATTGTGTACAGATCTGGATCGGGAAACGAGCGGATAAATGAAAGAAGGAAAATCAAAATCAAAACAGAAACAAAATTAAAGCAAATAAATGAGAAGAAAGAAACCTGAAGATTGCGGAAGCGATGAGAGGAGAAGAGAAGAGTGAGATGGAGCGGCGATGGAAGGCAATTTAGTGTGACTGTACGATAGCCTTTGCTTTTTGAATCGCCTTCTTTCTCGTCTTGGCGGTTTATTTTAGGTGGGAATTTCAACCTCTGAAATTTTCGAGCTTCATATTTACATATAGACCCCTTGTCTTTCTAGGTTTCTCATATATGGCCCATCATAATTACCCAAATTCCAGAATTGACCCATAATTTAACATAATTCTATTCCCCTTATTTCTACTTATCCATTTAATAATTTTTTTATATATTTTTTCAATAAATCTTAATTTTAGCTATTTAAAATTAAATTTTATCCAAATTTATTTAATAATAATAATAAAATTTTTATGCAAGTAAAAATACTTTGCGAATGTATTTTCATGTCGATGTGTGTATGTAACAGTCCAAGCCCACCACTAGCAAATATTTTCCTCTTTAGATTATTACAAATGATATTAGAGCTAGGTTACTGAACGATGTGCTAAAGAGGAGGCTAAGCCCTGAAGAGGGGTGGACACGAGGCGGTGTGCCAGCAAGGACGCTGGGCCTTGAAGGGAGATGGATTGTGAGATCCCACATCATTGGAGAGGAGAACGAAACATTCTTTATAAGAGTGTGAAAACTTTTTTCTAGCAAACTCGTTTTTAAAATCTTGAGAGAAAGCTCGGAATGGAAAACATAAAAAAGACAATATCAGTTAGCTATAGGGTTGAGCAAGTTAAAGTCGGTCATTAAAGTTGATGAAAGAAATAAACTTTCAAAGACGCTCATAATACATCCACGAAGTTAAGGATATGAAGTCATATAAAAATAAAACGCTTTTGTGATATAGAAGGTTGGTTAACTTTTTTTTATTTATTATTATTATTATTATTTTTTTTTTGCTTTTCTTTTTGAAATATATGATAATAGTGAAAATTTTCAACATCAATTAAGACAATCTTGTCTTGTACTAAAGATCCAACAACACTTTGATTATAAATAATTACATCTTTAATTTCCAAACTATCTTTTTCTAATAAATATATTTTATTTTAAAGAAAAAATATATATTAAAATATATTATTTAAGTAATTTATTTATTTGTTTCTAAACGGAAATCCCAAAAGTTAAGGGGTAAAATTGATAATAAAGTATCCTACAGGGGCTTTTATGAAAATAACCTCAATCCATACTTACTGGGTACTATAAAGTGAAGTTTATGTATGTGGGCCTTATGGGCTTCCCAATAAAAAAGAAGCCCAGTTTATTTGGGCCCAACGTTTACACACGTGGCCCGCGATTTCATGATGGAGCCCACAATAACTATTTAATAATAATAATTATGAATTTCGGTGTCATCATGTAATAATCCAATTAAAATTAGAATTTGAGTATTTGAATTATAGCAAAGATCTTTATCATGAAACTTAATATCGAGGGAATTATTAGCTCTATTATTATTATTCAAAAAATTATAATCATAATTATTGAAACATGTGGTATAAGAAATAAAGCTGTTTTTTTTTTTTCTTTTTACCGCTAAATTATATTCCTATTAATTGATATTTTATATTTATTTCATTCAAATATTTGTATAAAGTAATTCATAGATTTATGGTATATGAATTTAAAATTTAAAATTGTATTTAATAGATTAATTAATTTAAGAAATTAAAAAATTAATGGGACCATGAAATTGAATGGCAAGCTGTTATTTTACTTTATCCAATGTCAAAAAAAGAGAGCTAAAGTGGGGAATGGGGAATTAAAGCGTTTTTAAAAAAGAAAAAATTACAACACAATAGAGAGAGGTAAAAAGTAAAAAAGTGGGGATGGTGTATTATAAAGGTAATTTGAAATTATGTATTTTATTAATTTTTAAGGTTAAAACACAATTATGGTCTCCCTGCTTTTAATTCCATTTAATTATTAAATTAATGAGGAAAAAGATAGCACCGAAAAACATGGCCCAAAACGCACTATCTGCTCACCTATCCATCATCATATTACCAAAATCTCCTCTTTTTTTTTTTTTTTTTTTTTTTTTTTTTTTTTTTTTTTTTTTTTTTTTTTTTTTTT